CTCCTCACATTGCTCTTGATTTTCAGGAATGGAGATCTCGGTCAGCGTATCGGATGATACAGAGCACTGAATTTCAGATTCTTCAGTATATGCGGGCACAGTGGGTGTATTGTGTTCACTTTGGGTACTCATGGTATGCAAGGTTATTTTGAAATTCTGATATATTATCCTAAGAAAAAAGTTTAATTTGAAATTATTAATTAATTAGTTTTACCTAATATACTATATACTAACGAGTTTCAAAAAATAATAATCAATAATGACGGGTATTTATCTCTGTCAATATCTTTCCAATGAGGGGAAGGTCTGTGGGCGACCCTGCTACCGACAAGAAGGTTGTGCTATTCATTGGAAAAGGCATCGACGCGTCCCCTGTTTAGAATGTGGCAAACCGACTGCTTCTGAGTATAGCTTATGTAATTTGCACGCAGATAAATGTCATGTTAAAGCCTACTATCAATGGAAAAAGCTGGAGAAGTTGGCCCGGAGCGGACCTGAGGTAAAAGAGGTTTGAGTGAGTTAGTGTCAGAGACACATATTTTAACATAGGTATGTCCAAGATCTTTCTAGGACGGATTTTTTCTAGGACGTTTCCCCGGACGAGAAAAAGATATCTGGCGACGTTTTTGAGCTGAGAGAAGAAGTTTTAGACTACCCGTCCTACTGTCCTACCGTGTCCTAGGGAAATCACCAACTTCTTATATTTATGTTTCTTTTTTTATTATAGGTATAACGTATATAACATATATATATAACGTATATAGCATATATGTAATGTATATAACGTATATATCAAAGGTATATGTATATATCATATGTATATAACATATATATATCATGAGTAGATAAGTATCGAATGTATACCATATGATAGAATTTGATGTTTTTTCCTAGAATTCTATTTTTCACTAGAACCAGTAGGACGGATATATAATAAATATAAAGGAACAAGATAAAAAAGAATTTTAAATCTTTCTCCTATACTGAATCCGTCCTGCTGAACTTTTTTTTTCCTAGGACGCGGTAGGACGGAGTAGGACGGATTTTTCATATCCCAATACACTTTGCTATATATCCCGATATTGAATATATGAAAAAAATAAGTATTCCTAATTATGCAATCTGAGATTGATTCATTGAGACGGCAAATTGCTACTTTACAAATTGAACTTGCTTTAAAGGAGCAGATCCAAAAAATGCAAACTGAAATCGATTCATTAAAAGTACAAATCAATGAGATAACAAGTAATGATAATGAAGATTATATACTTGACGATACAAATCAAGAGTTATCTTCGGTTTATCCTAATTATATTCAATTTATAATTAATCACATATCATCGTGGCCTGAAAATAGCATTAATAAAGTGGATTCTGTGGGTTTATATCAAGAATATCTCACTTGGTGCAATAATAATAAAAAAGAAGCATTGAATAATAACATTCTCGGTAAAAAGTTCGCACTAATTGATATTGGACGCAAACGAGCAGGTAATGGGAAAAGAGAATGGCAGTATATTCTTGACCGATCTGAAATTATGAACAAGATACACGAATTATTCGGTAATAAGGTAGAGTAAGTAAACACATTCGATAGCAAATACTTTCACTGTCAGCCTCCACAAATGATGACATAAATGCAATCGACTCGTCAAACTTGTGATAAGACCAACTCGTCCCATAACCTAACTCGGCTATTTCCTTACAATGGAAATCGATCAAAAGCATTAAGCCGGTATACAAATATAACTATCAAATCTAGGTTTCTAAAAGAATTAGAATATGTTGTAGAGGGGTCGCGCCTATATCGTCATAACATGTATTGGGAAGTGTCTTATACTTGAAATCAATCAGGATCGCCAACCCAATATACAATGGTTCATATGTGAGCTAACATTTCTGTTGTCAAAAATGACGAGGCAAACGCAAAATGCTCGTTACTCGAATGACGAAGCAAATGTGATCTGCACATCACGAGATGAGTGCATACTACATCCAGGTTATACCCACTCGAAAATGACGAGGCAAACGCAAAATGCTCGTCACTCGAATGACGAAGCAAATGTGATCTGCACATCACGAGATGGGTGGAAATAACCTAGACTAAGTGGAAACAACATAATTATGTTGTTTCCACTATTGGTCTTGTTATATTTAAGTTATTTCTCCAGTCAACTATCTTTGGAATTGGGTAAATATACTTCCACTTCCATTCCTCCGAAATGTCATTTAATTTAAAAACCATATTGATGATGTCTCTTAATACTTCTATACCCTTGTTAGGAAGATGTTTGAACTATTCATATTGTAAACCTGATTGTCCAGCTACTTTTTTGTTAGATAGAAGGCAAATGACTTCTTCTAATTCGTCTATACTCACTTCTACTAGTAAGTTTTTATAATTGTTAGAATCAATTGTTGATATTGGCTTGTACCACTCCTCCCACTCTTTCATCATTGTTATTTTTTTTTAAAAAAAAACAGATTTTTTAATAAAATTTTTAAAAATTTATATAACTTTTAACTTTTATTTTAATTTCGACTTTTATTTTAATTTTGACCCCCATTTTAATTTCAACTTTTATTTTTAATTTTGACACCTGTTTTTAATTTTGACTCCCATTTTTAATTTCAACTTTTATTTTAATTTCGACTTTTATTTTAATTTTGACTTCCATTTTAATTTTAAAATATCAAAATTTTGAAATAGTATTTTGAGGTCAATTTCGGGATATTTATATTTCGGGTCCTAAAATAATTTTGCGTGCAAGTATAATCTGAATTGGTCTTGTAAGACCTAAGATATTATTTATTATATATTTATATTATGTAATACTAATTATATATTTTTATATAAATATAACATAAATAATAAAGATATAAGCAAGTCTTGTAAAATAATTTAATTATAAACCACAAACTTCACTAATAAATATTTGTTGATATTTATTTTCTACAACGAATTAGTAGATTTGTTACAGATTCCTAGAGAAACTTTAGAGATGCAACATTAATCACTTCACAATTATAACATAATCTAAACCATAATAAACAAAATATTATAAATTAATTTTCCAATGACAAAAATTTTCATCAAACTTAGATCTATCTTTTGAAATAATTGTTACTCAAGCCAATTGTGAAAAAAATTTTTCAACACTTAAATAGATAAATATTATAATATTTATAATATTTACACCTATATTATTTTCAATTTTCAGCTGTTAAAATATTTTTAACCTATTTTAATTAAGGAAATGAAAAAACAATTTAAGCATCATTTATATTTTCATTATTATTATTTTCATTTTCTTCAAATTCACTTTCATTTTCAACATTCTAAAATAATTATGTTAAAATAGTTAATAAAAGAATACCAAATATTCAAATAATTGCTATTATAATTATTGCAATTTCAAATATTAAATACTCACATCAGGTTCTTGAGGAAATCCACCAGGCATACTAGAATTATCATTTGTTATCTCATCCTCATTATTATTACTATTTAAATTGTTATTATTAGTTCCCCACAGAATTTCAACAAGCCTATCAGCAGCTGCCTGTAGATTTGCAGCATCTGCAATTTGATTAATACGTTCAGCAATTTGTACATTTGCATTCTAAATAAATAAAATGAATATAAATTAATAACTTTTTTTGTTGCTACCCAGAAAACGAGTGATTAAAATATACTTACTGGTACTCTGCCTAATAGTCTTTGTATATCAATTATGTTACCATCAATTGGACCAGCAGTGTGCACAGAGTAAGGATTAGTTCCATCAGGTGGAGGCAAAGGGTCATAAAGATTTATACTTCGGTTTACTACTGCTGGAAGTCTGCCCAGAAACTTTGAATTTTCTAAAATACCAACATAATCAATAAAAAACCAACCAATTTTCTTCCAATTAAAATATTTTTTTAAAAAAAATTAAAGACTGAATCTCACCCGAAACAATTATATATCTACTAATATCCAACGGAATTTGATCATCAAATAGATTTTCCCTAATTTGTCTTCCATGAACGAATGCAGCTGAAAATTCTTTATCAGATAAAGATGCTGGATTCATGAAATATGACAAAATATAATAATTATAATAATTTAATACAAAATAATAATAATTCAATAATTGAAATTAATTAATTTTCCCTACCTTTATAACTTGGAATTTGTAATTTCACAACCACATTTATTATTGCGGTTTGGAACCAGGTAATAACCTATATATTCACTTATGTTAAAATAAACATTGTTCTTTTTTTTATTAAAAAAAAAACAAAAATAAAAAAATAAATATAATTATTGCGTACTTCTGGTTGAGTCCACAAAGGTGAATTTTGCTCAACGTAGAGATCAATCAATAAATTCAAAAAATTTTTTGTCGATCTAATTATCAAAAAAGAAAAAATAAATTAATGAAAGAAAACATTAGGGTTAGTATTAATCATAAAAAAACATACGTTTCTTGTAAAAATTCATTTTCTTCAATATCAGAATCGAGTTGAATATCACATTTTTTGACTATTAACGGGACAACGGTAGGGAAATATAAAATTGCCTTCTCAAGCATTGCCGTACTTTCTTTATGACCCTAAAGAATTTAAGAAAATAGATCATTAAAAAATTCGTTAATTTAACATAAAAATGTAAAGAAAATTTTGAAACTCATAACATTCATATTGTTACTTTCTTTTAATTCTTTTAATTCCAACTGAAATTTTGCAATCGCAGAGGAATAAGAAAAATTTGGTAAATCTTTCAAATTATAGTGTTCCCATTCGTTTGTAAAAGATATCACGTATTCATACTGTTTAGCCTTTAATCCAATATAATCAATTATATGTAGCACACACAATGGATCATTTACTGGATCCAATGAAAGTAACAATTTGCTAAATTCAAATGATGTTTGCCAACAACCTCGTCTAGATAGAGTTTGAATCTGACGAAATAGGGCGAGAAAGAATGCTCTATAATTTATTCAAATGTCATTTAAATATAATAATTAGATTTAGTTACAAATGTTTCAGAAAATTTCATGTTATTATAATCATTATAATAAATATTTACCGATTTTCAAATTTATTATAATTCAAACGAGATATACCTTTGGAAATGTTGAACTTGATATGAAAACTTTTCTCGAATGCGTACAATGCACGCTCTATAAATTCACTAGACATCGCGTGATCGTCTGACATTTTATAAATGTCACTGATTTGTAATAATGAATCGATATGATACGGATTTTTTCGTAAAAGTTCAAATATCGTGCTTGAATCTTTTAAATTAATTAATTAATTAATTTTAAAATTTAATTAATTAATTTTAAAATTTAATTAATAAAATTAGGAAATACCATGAGTAGCTATGCAATGTAAGAATGATATTTGTGTTGCCTGATATTGCTGAGAATGTGTGAATTCAAAATTATAAATTCCATCTTTTTCTTCCACTAAATCCATCCCAAGTCCAAATTTAACGATTGGTGGCCAAGTTTGTCTTGGTTTTGCCAATAATGTTTTTCTGATTGTTCGAATATAATTCCTATCTCGAATTTCTCTATCTACCTAAAAAAGAGATTCATCTTAAAACTATCAAAAATATATTTTAATTTTTAATCTAATTACTTACAATTCTAGAAGAAAACATTCTTTTCATTTCTCCATCAGCATCCAACAAACGAGGATCAACAGTTAAAAATTTAATATTTGATGAAATCGAGGATGTCTCCTTTGAATCAATATTTTCTTGAGCATTTGATAAACTGTCAAATCTATACATTTAAATGTTTAATATTTAAATATTTAATGTTTAATATTTTATTATAATAACTTATTAATAATAAACTTACTTTTCTGAAAATTCTTTAATTGAATTATCTATTTTTTGATGATTTTCCTTATTTTTTACAAAACTTTTTTCGGAAATTTTCTTCCTTTTCTTTTTCTTTTTTGAAGAAATAGATTTTGTTGGAACTGGCGATTCAATTATAACTTTTTCTTGTTTAGCTTTTTCGTTTTCATCAGAATTTTGTTCCTCTTCATCATCAATACCTTCAATACCTTCGTTAAGCTAACAATTTAGATAAGAAAGAAGTCAATAAAAGACGAAATATAAAATATATATTCATCAAAATAAAGGAATTTCAAATCGCACCAAATCAAATAAATTTGTTTTCTGTTGTTCATAATCGGATTCCTCTTCCGCTTGGTTTGAATCATCAGCACTTTTGGGCCTTGAGACAAGTTCATATTCTTTATTTACAGCTCTTCTAAAAGCTCTTCCAGACATTTTTCATTTGAACTCACCTTTTTTATCAATTAATCTGTTATTTATACAAGTTTAATGTCGCACATGAACTTTAAACATGTGAAATCTTTTTTTCATCATAAATAAATTATTTCGAAAAAATGTTAAATTAAATTTTATTGACAAAAAAAAAATAAAAATAAATAAATATATATATATCAAATAATTTAAAATAATTTTTCTATATAATACAATAAATGAAATTTTATAATTATTATAAAATTTCTACAAAATCAATATATAATAATAATAATAATAATATAATAATATAATAATAATATAATAATAATAATAATAATAATAATATAATAATAATAATAATAATATATAATAATAATAAATAATAATAATAATAATGTAATAATTACAGTAATTCATTATTACTACTACTATCTTGGTTAAAAGTCATAGGAATTATCTCTTTCCTAACAATCCACGATTTAAGTTCAAAATCTATTTCATCTTCAAAATTTCCTCCTTTTTTGGATCTAATTAGATTTCCTGTTTTATTTACATCATCAACTTCCCAACCTCTAATTTCTAATTTAATTTCTTCTGGATCCACTATTTCCCATGAATAAACCATCATTTTAATTTGATTTTCTTCACCAAACTTTAAAATTCCATCCATTAAATAAAAATCATGTTGTGCACAATCTCCATTTCCATAATATCTTCCAATTAATATTTCATTTAAAAATATATATGATGTAAATGAACCATATATAACTAACCTTAATGGTGCTGTTAAAATATCTTTAAATTTAATATCTATTGGATGATGAAATTTAAATTTCCACCATCTTATACCATCATTAGGTAATATTCCATACATAGTTATACCTAAATTATGATCTTCCCAACTTGATTCTTTATTCTCATCAGGTATACCAGTTGATGTATAAGAATTTTCTAATTTACTTACATCTACTCCACAAATGTTCCATTCTATTTCTGTATTTGGTTCCAAACCTTTGATATTTGCTGAAATTATTCCTCTAGGATTATTTGCATCACTAAATACTACTGATTGTCGACCTAATCCCCAATTATCTACAAAAATTATCATAGAATTTTTTTCTTCACTTTCTGGTGAATTAAGATATTGTGTAATATCATACTTTTCATCACCTAATGACTTAAATAGTTCTGGTCCAAATTTAGCTCCAGGAAAGAGAAATTGTCTTGAAAAAGTTGTATGTCCCCCAACAAATTGATTATTGACAAAAATTGTACAACGATGTCTCATATTTATATAAAGTTGTACATCTGATGCATCATAATCACTTTGAAATTTTGCATGATATAAAACATGACCTGAAACATAATTATTTTCAATTGCTCCTCCTCCTCCCTTTTCTATATCTACTTTTCGCCATCCTAATTCCTTAAAATTTGTAATTCTTGTTTTCCAATCATATAATTTAGGTACTAAGTGTACTTCAGATGTTTTTTCTCCGGCTGTTAATTGTTTTTTATAAATAAATGAAAGAGGATATGTTTGATGATTATGTAAACGTACATGATCAGCTGGTTTTCTATATGATAATATTGATATTTCATGTTCTTGATCCCCATGTTCTGTCTCTATAACCATGTTCGAATAATCAAAATGAACATTTTGAGTTCCCCATGTGACAATTAATGGTGAATGATTAAGAAAATTTTTTCTATTATTAGTTTTAATCCAATGATGATCATCAAACACTGCATGAAGTGTACCAAGTGATTCTTTATGTAAAGCTAAAATGTATAAATCTTTCGTTGATTCGGTATTTCGAATTCTTGCAAATCCTACAACACCACTAAATGATAAAATATGAATGGCATGTCCAACCTTTCTAATAGAATACCCAAGATTTCCATCAACTATAATTTCACCTTGAAATGCCATTTCTCCAATATTATTTACCGGAACTATCCAAATTTCACAACTTGTATCAGCTACACTTATATCTTCATTTTCTTCATTTTTAATTGATGGAAGAATTATTCTCAAATGAATAGGTAAAGTTGAAAAAATTAATTTCAATCCAGTTGTTGTTATGTAATTTCCAATTGCAATAAATGAACTTTTATATGGTAAGTAACATTGCATTAGATATTTTTGTGCACGCCTCTGTCCTTCTTGATATTTGACATATACTTGAAATATGGGATGTTTTTGTTCACTGAAATTTCTCATAAATGTAAACAAAACTCCATTATTTTGATCATTATTGGAATTCACTAATGATCTTCTTTGAGAATTGAACACGTTTTTAATAGAAGTGGTGATATTTGGGTTACGGACACATTCTGTTTTGACGAGTAAATCAGAAAAGCTGTGTGCAAATAATATTCCAAGACGTAATTTTCGAAGTCGAGATGAAATATAACCATATTCACGAATACATGCTGAATAGTCATAAGAAGTATACCCATCACTATTAATCAAAAGAAAAAAAAAAAAAAAAAATCCCCATTAAAATTTATAAAATGGATGAGAAATATATGAAATTAAGATATTTAAAATATATTTAAAATAAATAAATTACATGTCACCCAGTGTCCCCCAATTTGTTCCACCATATGCCATATAAAAGGATAACATGGTACAACCTTGTGCTAAGACAGAATCAAAAACAATACGTGTAAAAGAATCACCATAATAATTATAAACATCATCAAAGGTGTGTTGTGTTTGGTAAGTTGTAAACCATCCTCCCTGAAGTTCAGGAATAAATATTGGTGACTAAAAATTTTGTTTATAATTATAATATTTTTTTAAAAAAAAAAAGAAAATCTATTATTATTATTAAATAATAAATAATAATAAAATAAATATAAAATAAATATAAAATAAATAATAGACATTTCAATACAAAGTACCTTTGCAGCTTCATATCCAAATCCACGAACTGTACTTTCAATTCCATCTAAAGCTTTCATTACATCTTTAGGATTCCAAGATTTCCATTTTTTTGGATCCTTCTGAACATTGAATGCCCAAGGTATTGGTTCACTTGCAGGAACAAATACTATTGTTTAATTTTTTTTTAATCAAGAACATTCATTGAAGATATTAAGAAATAATATATATAATAAATTACAAATTTCGTTAAAGATAATCATAAAATTATTTTCATTATATATTAAATTTAAATGCTTTACCGAAATATTTGTCAAATCCATAAAGATCCAAACCAAATGTTTTTCTATCAAAAAAATGATATGATGGTTTTGAATCGATCTCAGGTTTCGCAATAAATGAACCTGCTTCAAAAGGATCATTTGTGAATAATGGAACAGTGATCTCGCAATCCCTTGCTGATTTACATAAGAATCTCATTTCATCATGTAATCCAAAAGGAATAGATAAAACTTTTTCCAATAATTCATTTTCTATTTGTACAGCGAGAACGCATCCATCAGATTTTGAAGTGATTTGATGTCGAGCGATAATCGGTAAAACATTTTCGAACCATTGTTTTTCGTATTCAGAGAATGTAGGATCATATGACTTAAATCCAGAATGTAAGACATGACGTAATTTTTGAACTTTTTCAATAACCCATATAGGAAATCCACCTGCTTGAGTTTCAGCACAAATATAGGGACCAGGAGCAGCAAGAACGTAAAGATTTAATTCTTCACATAAATCTAATAAATAGTTGATATCCCTATTACCATCAAAATGGTAAATTCCTTCATCAGGACTATGATAACCCCAATGAAAATAAATTCTTATACAATTAAATCCTCCAGCTCTATATTTTTTTAAAATACTTTTCCATCGGGATCTATCAGGAAGACGCCAATAATGAAACTCGCCACTAATTATTAGGGTAGGAATTCCGTGAATATATAAACAATATTTATCCCAATTAAGAATATTACCATATTTACTTCTATTATAAGAAACTTCAGAGGTTGTAATAGGTAAAGAACCTTTACGACTTTGAAGAAGCCAAACGTATAAGGCTACAAAACTGGCAGGAATAAAGGCCAAAAGAGCTGCAAGTTCTACAATAGCCATGATTAGAAAAAGAATTGGATTGGTGGAAATTGAATTACATTCTTTTGTGGCTGTAATATGTCAAATATTTTGTTTTTGTAACACAATCCCTAGTAATCACTTTTTCAACTTTCGAAATAAGGACATATTCGGAATAACTTCAGTAATTAAATCCATTGTTTTAATTTTTTATTATAAAAAAAATAAAGACGGACTTGTGTGACTAATTATCGGAATAATGAATATATAATGATAGAAGCCACAATATTCAAAATATGACCTGAAATATTTTTATAAAAAAAAAAAAAATCAAATCCGCGACGTGAATCTACAGATGTGACCTTAAAAATAATCTCGCTGTGGCTTACACTTAAATAAATAAAAAAAAAAAAAAAAAAATAGTGTTTATTTCAGACTCTATGTATATATATATAATCACCAAATTTTGGTTAAAGTATCTACAGTACTTCAGTTATTTCATATATATCTATTTTTTTTTTAAACTTGTTTATTAGTTGTATGATATATTCTTTTTTCTGCTTTTTTTTTTTTTTTTTTTTTTTTTTTATGTTCTGTTATTTTATAATATTTTATAATATTTTCTGATGTTCTATTAGGTATAAAGTATTCTTTACTTGTATTATTCAAATCCATTTTTTATTTTAATTAAATAAAAAATAATTTATCATCACTTAAAATATTTTAATCACGAAAATAAAAATAAAAATAAAAAATATTTTCATATATATTAATTTAAAGTTTTTCTCCATCCTTTAAATGTGAAATAGATGTTAAATATGCATAGGAATATAAAAAATTAGGTACATTCAATTTCCGATTTCTTAGATGATTTACAAAAAAAATAAAATTGAAAATTGATACATATAATTAGATCTTTTTTAAAAACAATGTCACGTCGTCGACCCAAACAACAACGCAATGTCATTGATGAAAATCAACCTGTAGATTGGGAATTAGAAGGATTAGAATATAACCCTAAAGCACAGGGACATCCACGTCGACCACGTCAACCACAATCTACTTTACAAACACCTTCAAACTTAATACCTTCTGAAGACCATTCTATTTCAATTTCTCAACTATGGACATTACCTCGAACCACGTTATTATTAATGACTCCAATACTTGCATCAACCATTCTCCAAGTTGCTCCGAGATATATAGAACCCGTTTACGGAAATATTTTTCCAAACATTTATTTTTATGAATTTTGTTTAATATCATTAATCTTTGGTACAATTTTTGGTATAGGTTTTGCAACTAAAACCAAAAGTCTTCAGTCAAAAATTAGAGATGATAAAATTACTAGAGCTATTGTATACGGTTTTGATTTGTGTGGAATATTATTTTCTGCTTCACCTTTAATGGTAAAAAAATTATATAACCTTAGCAGTATTTTGGGTCCATATGTTGGTCCACATATAACACAACTTGGGTTAGCTTATCCTATAATGTTCTCTCTTGGATTCCTTAATTCCGTAGTATGCGTTCGAAATTCTCATGAACAAAGATTTCCTATTATAAGATGGATATCTCATGTTATAATATATAATATAGTTACTTCAACATTTACATTTGTATTATATAGTGTGGAAACCAGAGGAAGATCATGTCATCGATTATATTTTGGTGGATTAGCTTTAGCACTTGTTAGTGTGGTATTTAAATTATTATGGAATATTCATGGAGAAATAAATTTAATTGAGAATGCAGGACAGAGAAAGAAGAAGAAGAATAAATTTGGAATTACAATTTCTTCTAAAATAAAGAATTTAAGTTTTATTTTAACGCCACAGATTTTAATAATTATTTTTGCAATTTATAATGTAAATTTTAATCCTCAATGTAATCCATCAATAATTCAGGTTAGGAAATTAGAAATTATTTAATTTTTAATTAATTTTAATCAATTAATTTTTAATTTGAAATAATTTTAAGAAGATTATTTTATTAATTAATTAATTTGAAATAATTTTTATTTACGAAAAGAATGTAATAGTGAATAATATAGAATATTCAATCATCGCTAGAAATGATTCAATTACCGGATGGATTGAAGTTTTAGAAGAAATTCATCCACGTAACATTCGTGTAATGAGAGCAGGACATTCTTTGTTGGGTGGTGTTTATAGGAATACTTGGGATTCTGTTTTTGGATCTTTTTATTTTATGGAAGGTAAATTAATAAATTTGATTTTAATGATAATTTGAATTTAAAAAATAATTAATTTATTATTATTATTTATTATTATTATTATTTATTTTTATTATTATTATTATTATTATAATATAAATAATTTAATTTTTATTAGCCGTTCGATTAATTGAAAGAAAAAATAATAGTGGACAAGAAAGAGCTTTACAAATGTATATTAAATTTTATTATAATTAACATTTACTTTAAGAAATTATTACTTTTAATTAATTACCTTTTAATTACTTTTAATCTATTACTTCTTTACTTTTATTGATTACTTCACTTATTATTATTATTATTAGAGGTTTAGGAATAGGCGTATCAGCCTCATCACTTCAACGTCACCAAGTTTCTTTGGACATTATTGACCTTGATCCAGCAGTATATGAATATGCAATTAAATATTTTCGACTAGAAAATCATCATTGGTTTTATCAACAAGATGGAAGAAAATTCATAAATAATGCGGAATCAGGGATCTATGATTATGTGTTACATGATGTTTTTACTGGTGGATCAATGCCTTCAGAACTATATTCTATAGAAGCATTGGAACAGGTTAAAAGGGTGATGAAGGAAGATGGAATATTGGCTTTGGTATGTTTTATATCGATTGTTTATATTTATTGTTATATATTTATTATTTACTTATTATTAATTATTTATTTACTTATTATTTACTTATTATTTATTATTTAATTATTATTAATTATTTACTTATTATAAATTATTTACTTATTATTATTATTTTATTATTAGAATTTCGTTGGGTCAGAACGATGGCCACATGCAGAAAGTTTGGCATTGGTTTCAAATACAATAAAAAGAGTTTTTCCATACATTAAATGTTTTAAAGAAGGACCACAAAATGAAGGAACATTTCAAAATATGGTATTTTGTTTAATCTCTATTTAATTTTAATTTTAATTTTAATTTTCGTTTATATATTATTAAATTATATAAAGAATTGAAAGTAATCATTAAATTAAAATAATTAAAATAATTCAAATAATTCAATAATTAAAATAATTAAAATAATTAAAATATTTAAAATATTTAAAATATTTAAACAGGTGTTTTTTGCTTCCTCTCAAAAAATAAAGTTTCGTCAACCTGATAAAGAAGATTTCTTAGATAGTGATATGCGAGAATTTATGTTGAAAAATTTCATAAAATGGCCAGTAAGTTTGGAGAATTTTAAAAATGTCAGTGAAATAATAACCGATATGAATAATCCATTAGAAAAAATGCAGCTTATTTCGGCACATGAACATTGGGTGATTATGAGAGAATTGTTTCCAATGGAAGTGTGGATTAATTATTAAACTAAACTAAACTAAAGTAAGCAAGAAACTAAAATAAGGAAGAAACTAAAGTAAGCAAGAAACTAAAGTAAGAAAGATGTTGAGATGTTGAAAGGGATGTTTGAAAGAAGAAATTTAGAGTAGGCAAGATGTTGAGAGAAGTAATATATTATTTGAAAAAATGTTAGTTTAATTTCTAACATAATTTTGATATTTGAACATATTTATATCAATTCATAATATTATTAGTTCGGTAAATGGAAAAATTATATTATTATATACGTGAAAAACCAAATATATATTTAATAATCTTAAATAATTTTATACAATTAAGCTTTTTGTCAATTCTTGCACCGAGTCAGTGATCAACTTCTTACACATATCTAATATCTTGCAATGCTGACCATAAATTCATGTATATTTACCGTTCACTTTATGAGATAAAAATATTTCCACTCAATCTTTCGATAGATCACTTAAAACAATTATATGTTTCTAATGATCACATAAAATTAACTGAATTTTTTACATATTACATATCTCGAAAATCCATTATCATGAGATTCAGTGGAATATATGTTCGAAAGGCAATAAATTCTTGTTTTTTGTTAAGCAATTATATAATCAAATAGTTGTATCATATATATTGTTTTACGTATTCAAACAAAACCAGTAATTTGAAACATCGTAAAGGACAGCACCATCCGACATGACTTTTATGTAAGCCTATGTAATTTAATTTAATTCTATGAAAACAGGAGATATGAAAATAAAATTAACCTTAATTATGACAGATTGCAAAAATCCGCAGGACACAGTCAATTAAAAATGGTTAACGGTTTTTTTTAGGTTGCAAAATAGAAGAATAGAAGTTGCATAACTTATCAATGTCTATAACATATTTAACATATTTCTTATTATTCATTATATTATTGTGTTATTAAATCCAATAATAATAATATTTTAAGTATTTTCTCTTTTTCTTATTTGATTGTTATCAGAGGCCTGGTGGCTCAATAGAAAAATAAATTAAATAGCAAGTAAATTGTCCACACATTATAAATATATACAAATGCTTCGAGGAGAAATATATTAATTTAGTTAATAGTGAATAGGCAATGTAAAACGTTTTTGAATTCATATATATTTATTAATGTATACGATTTGATTTATTTTTTTCTGATATAAAAATTTCCACCTTTTAAAATTTTACTTAAAAATATTATAATTTACCTAATTTCCATTACAAACATTTATATAAATGTCATAAACTTTATGAAGCTCTCACTCGAATTGCTAAAAAAAAAAATGCTTTTGGTCTATACTTAGAAAACACAGACAAAAATATATAAACAAAATACTTACTATCTAAAAAAAATAGTTATATACTGTACATAAACATAACCAGAAATCTTAGAAACTATGCAACTAAGTTTTATATTTTTACAATAAAACCAGAAATATATAAAAACCTTATAGATATATGCACTCCATTATTTTAATAACAATTTATAATCTTGATAATAATACTTCTTCAATTGATAGTCCCCATCTCATTGAACAGATAGATCAAATAGAAATAGAAGACTCCCCCAAGACAGAAAAGATACAATATTAAGTATTTGTTATTACTTGGTTGAAAAGAGCTTTATTAAAATTAAAATTAGAAATGGTTAGTTCTAGGTGAAGTGATTAACTAGTGTCAAAAGATTAACTAACTAACAAAATTAATAAATCAACAAAAGAACAATGGATGACGGATAAAATTTCTGATGGTTACACGGATTGATTATCGTGGAGCATTTGATAATAATCAAATTCTATTGCAATTATATCTGTGATTTGTGATCTTTTGTTTAATACCAAATGTCTCACTAAATTTGGATCATTGAATATTCAAATGATATCTGAAAAATCTTTTTTTGATTAATCATATAAAACTGATCGTCAATTAACATAAATTAATAAATCATGGAGAAGTGTATTAGTCATCAATGTCAAAATTATTAATTAAAAATAAAATCTAAATTAAACAAATTGGAATGCGTACTCACCTCTATCTTCGAAACTGTCTATTTTTAATTGTATCCATAAATTTAGTGACATAATAAGTAGTATTTATTTTTTTTAAATCGGTGATTTCTTGAAAAGCCATTATTCGTCATGTTCGAAGGCGATTCATTTTGTCATGATCCAGCTGGTTGGGTAATGATTAAAGAATTATTATTATTTTTTTTTGTATGATAGTAGAATATAAAATATAATGAATATTTATTTATTTATTTTAATATAAAAAATATAAAAATATAAATTTTATTTAAATATGTCTGATATTATATAAATTTTATATATTAGGGTCCTTTGGAACCAGATCAGGGAGGCTTTAATATGACTTTGTGCTTCACTGAAGGGTAATTAATATAAATTATATAGATCAATATAATCAATCTTTAAATAATTTTTTTTATTTTCATTCTATGTACATATGTGATTTAAATAATTAAAATAGAACTTTCATTATGCCTATCAATGCATTGATGATGATCTTTGGATCTCTTGAGATTTTCTATCTTGTTAAAAGATCAACTGTTGTTCCAGCTAGTGGTTTAAGGAAATGGCATTTTGTTTTCAAGAGGGTATTTCTTTTTATAACAATTTTTATATTTTCAAATTTTCAATATTTTTTTTTTTTATATTCATACTTTTCTTTTTTAAAAAGAAAATCATTAAATTTTAGAAATCATTAAATTTATCGAAAATCATTAAATTTTAGAAATCATTAAATTTATCGAAAATCATTAAATTTATCATTAATAGATTGCCTTAATATCCTTAATTGTGTTAAATATAATCTCTTTGGGATTGTCACTTAGTTGGAATAATTGGAACGTAAAAGACATATTCATATTTTCAGCTGCGATTAATTTGATCACGTTGGTGAGTATTTAAATAAATTCATCTATCTTTATCTAAATAATTATAAAATTAATATTAATTTCTAATTAATTTCTAATTAATTAATTAATTAATAAAGATTTTTATAAAAGTACTTCAAAAAAAATCTTACTTAAAAAGTAATTCTGTATCATCAATTTTAATATTATATTGGATATTTTATCTTGGGACCAATTCTATTAAATTAAGAATATGGATAAATCGAAATTATCAGAGAGAGCAAACTTTATTTTTCTATACTTTACTTTCGTCAATAATATTTGCATTTATTTCACTTGTACTCGAGTTAATACCTAAGCCTCGAGATCCATATGAACTTATTGAAGAAGATAATGTGATTATTATTAAATCAATTTCTTGTTTTTGTTTTTGTTTTGTAGAAATTTTTATTTTTCTTAGTTAATACTTATTAAATGAAATTTTTATAGCAAACAAGTCCAGAAGAGACTGCTAATATATTTTCACGTCTCACATTTTATTGGATGACTCCAATGATGAAACTTGGATATAAGAAATATCTTACATTTGCGGACTTAATGTAATTTAATCTATTCATTCAGATTCATCTTTTTATATTCATCACCTATAATCTTTATCATTTGTATATAGGAATTTGAATTCAGAAGATCGATCCAAAAGAATCTCCGAGAAATTTGAAGAAAAATGGAAAAATGAATTAAATAAAAAAAAGTAAATATGAAATTATAATTTATTATTATTTTATACATACATATATATATATATAATATTTATGAAAGTAAAATTAATAATGTTTTAAAATGTAAAACAGTCCTTCATTAATCAAAGTTATAACCTTTACATTTGGTGGTCCATTTGTATTTGCTGCTGTAAGTATTTTTTTTTTTTTTATTCTATATATCAAAACTTTGAAATTTAAAATTTTCTAAAATAAATAAAATAAATGCTTTTATTTAATAAATATATAAATAGTTATTTAAATTCCTTCAAGATATGCTTAACTTTGTACAGCCTCAATTATTAAGAGTTTTAATGATATTTGTAAGAAGTCAAGGAGAAGAAAATCCTCAACCTGCACTATGGGGATATTATATTGCTGGTATTTGAATTATATATATGTGTGTGTGTATGTGTGTGTGTGAATGATAGTTCAAATGAAATCACTTTATAAATAACATAATTTATATTTATATAGTGATGATGTTTTTTACTGCAATTTTACAAACCATGTTTTTGCATCAATATTTTCAACTTTGTTTTGTTACTGGAATGAGGGTAAAAAGTTTTTTTTAATTATTATGTTAATTAATTATATTTACTTGTAATTCAATAAATACTCATCATTTCAATTTTCATTTAATATAAAGACACGAGCTGGTCTTGTAACAGCAATATATAAAAAATCTTTACTCCTATCTAACAGTGGTCGACAAAGTTCAACGGTTGGGGAGATTGTTAATCGTATGTATTCTTTTTTACGTATTCTTTTTTATGTATTCCTTTTTTTTTTGTGTTCTTATTTATTTATTTATTTTTTACTGAAATATAACAAACGGCATGTTAAATAATTTTTAAAGACATGAGTGTGGATGCACAAAAAATTATGGATTTAACCACCTATTTTCACATTACGTGGTCCGGTCCTTTTCAAATCGCCTTAGCCTTGTATTTCTTATATCAAACAATGGGAGTCAGTGCTTTTGCTGGAGTTGCTGTCATGATTTTAATGATACCAATAAATGCAGTTATAGCATCAAAAATGAGAACTTTGCAAAGAAAACAAATGAAAAATAAAGATGATAGGATTAAATTAATGGTATTTATTATTATTATTATTATTATTATTATTATTATTATTATTATTATTATTATTATTATTATTATTATTATTATTATTTGATTTTTATTCTTATATAAATATTAACTTTATTTCTAAATTTTAAATTTATCAAATATTCAATAAAAGAATGAAATTCTTAACGGCATCAAAGTTATAAAATTATATGCTTGGGAATCAGCATTTACTAAAAAGGTAATTATTATTTACTGAATTATTAATGACAAAAGTATAAAATTGTTTCACTTTTCTAATATTATCTGAAATTAGATTTCTCATATAAGAAATAATTTGGAGCTTAATACGCTTAAGAAACTTGGTTATCTTGCTTCTCTACAGAGTTTTACATGGGCATCAACGGTAAGAATTTCAAGATTGTTATCTCGGCTTTCTCTGTCTCTACAATTTTTTTTTTTTTTTAAAAAGTTTTTATTAATAAAAATATTTGTAAATTTGAAATTTGTTTAATTAGCCTTTCTTAGTCTCTTTTGCCACATTTGCTGTTTATGTAAACATAACTAATGAACCTTTGACAAGTGAAATTGTCTTCGTTGCATTAGCCTTATTCAATCTTCTACAATTTCCACTTACCGTATTTCCCCATGTTATAACTTCAGCAATTGAAGCTGCAGTATCTATAAAAAGAGTTCAGAATTTTTTAAAGGCTGACGAATTAGATCCCAATGCTATTGTTCGATTACCTTATCGTGTGGATAATAATGAAGTTCCAAAAAAAGTGAATGGTAAGATTGAAATGGTGTCAATAAAACATGGAACATTTAAGTGGTACAAAGGTGGAGTTTCAGAGTTGGAAGATATTAATTTGAGCGTTGGGAAAGGAGATTTAATTTCAATTGTCGGAAGAGTAGGTGAGTTGTCGTTCTTTTTTTTTTTTTTTTTTGTTATCTAGATTTCAAGTTTTTTTTTCTTTATAATTATTTTTGGTTAAGCGTAATTATTAAATTAAATTAATTATTAAATATTTTTAGGTGCTGGTAAATCATCACTTTTATCTGCTATTCTTGGCGAAATGTATAAAGTTGGAGGCCAAGTTGCTGTTCGTGGACATGTTGCTTATGTTACACAGGTTTATTTATTATTAATTAAGTTGTTTAATATAGTATATATGAAATTTTTTTATTTGCTAATCGAAAATTTTTTTTTTCATTTATTCGCGTAATTACTAGTCGGGTAAAAATAAATAAATGAATCTATATTTATTTATTGATTTTATAATTAATTTTTTATTTTCAACTAATGCCTAAATTCTAACGTCATTATTTGTTAATTCAATTAGCTTGGATCATGAATGATACTCTTCGAAATAATATTACGTTCGGATTTCCTTACGAACAAGACTTTTATGAAGGTGCACATTTAAATAAATATTATATATATATATTTTATATTTATTTTGTAAAACTTATAATTTTTATTTATTTATTAATAACTTTAGAGGTAATTGAAGCGTGTTGTTTAAATCAAGATATATCTATTCTTCCAGGTGGAGATTTAACCGAAATTGGTGAAAAGGGTATAAATCTCTCCGGTGGTCAGAAGGCAAGAATATCATTGGCTCGTGCACTTTATGCTCGAGCTGATGTTTATTTATTGGGTGAATATTATTTATTGACTTTTTTTTAAAAAAAATTACATTTAACTAGGTTTTTCTAATGTTTATTATATATTTTAGATGATCCTTTGTCTGCTGTTGATGCTCTTGTTGGCATGTATTTCACTTTAAAATTAATTTTCTCATGATTTGGTAATATATATATATATATATATTTTGAATAAGAATCTTATATTTACTTTATTTGTTTTATGTTCTTTTAGGCAAACATATATTTGATAAAGTGATCGGGTCAACTGGATTGCTCAGAACAAAAGCCCGAATATTTGTAACGCATGGTATTCATCATTTGTCACGTGCAAATTCAGTGGTAATGTTGAGAGAGGGTCGAATAACAGAGCAAGGACATTTTGATACTTTGATGAAAGAAAAGAAAGAGCTATTTAATTTAATTAGCGAATATGGTCAAGAAATTCAAGGCCCAAATGAAGAGGATGAAGCAATATCTAGCCCAAATATGGTGGAAACTTATGAGATTGATGAAGCAAATATGGATCCTAATACAGAAGAAACATCTAGAAGTCCACGGGAAAGACGTGTTAGTGTGGCCAGTTTACATAAAAGACCGTCACTTATGACTACAAACAATAAGAAAGAGGATATTGAACCAAGTGATACGGATGCTTTAATTACTAAAGAAGAGTCGGCAAAAGGAAAGGTGGTGTGGCCTGTATATCAAGCTTATATCAAATCATGCTCGGCGGGTGCAGTCATATTATTTTTATTCATGCTGATTACATCGCAGGGTGTACAAATTGGTGTGTATTATTAAAAAATAAAATTTTTCTTGAAAAATAATGAGCATTGTATGAAATTATTCAATTTGATTTTTTTTTTTTTTAGGTAATAGTTTATTTCTTAAGTATTGGAGTTCTTTAAAAACAACAGAAAATGTTCTATTTTATTTGTTTATATACGGTTGTATTGGAATCATACATTCTTTTATGACGATTATACAAACCATCGTTCTTTGGATATTCTGTGCCATTAGGTAAGAGAAGTTATGATTTAGATTTAAATATTAGATAGAATTCATTTATTTTAAATAATTACAAATAATTTTAAAATAAATAGGGCTGCTCAAACTTTACACGAAAAGATGTTTAACAGTATCGTGAGGTAATTGATTTATCTTTAATTGTATTGTCTTGAAATTATTATTTTAGAATTTAAATTAATATTTTTAAATACGTTTTCTTTAATTTAGATCTCCAATGTCCTTTTTTGTAAGTTTGTACATTTTTTTGTAACGCTATTGATAATTTAAATAATTCATTTTTTATTTTATTTTTACTAATAACAAATTTATTTAAAATTTGTAGGATACAACGCCATTGGGTCGTATTTTAAATAGATTTAGCAAAGATCAATACACTATTGATGAAGTATTACCACGCACATTTTCTGGATATTTCAGAACCCTTTTTATAGTCATGGCAACTGCCATAGTTATTTCTTATTCTACTCCATCTTTTACCTTTATAATTATTCCAATGAGTGAGTGATTTTTAATTTACTTTTTATTTTATTTTGCATTTATGACAATAGACTCCATTTTAAAATTTCTTAAATTTCTTTTAAATATTTTAAATATTATAGTTTTAATTTATAGTTACATTCAATCATATTATTTGGCAACATCAAGGGAACTAAAACGATTGGATTCATTGACTCGATCTCCAATCTATGCACATTTTCAAGAAACACTTGGTGGTGTTATAACTATTCGAGCTTATGGGCAATCTGAACGATTCTGTAGAGAAAATGAAATTAAATTAGATGAAAATCAAAAAGCGTATTATCCTTCAATATCATGTAATAGATGGTTAGCTGTAAGATTGGAATTTTTAGGTTATTATCTTAACTTTTTATTATAAATTATTTATTTTATGATTAAAAAAATTTGCTAATTTACCGAATTTTTAAATATTTAGGTTCTTTGATTATATTTAGTGCTGCAATTTTATCTGTTGTCACGGTATTGACGACTCACTACGTTGATGAAGGTCTTGTGGGGTTATCAGTATCTTATGCTTTGAGTGTCACTCAAGCATTGAATTGGGCTGTTCGACAGTTTTGTGAAATTGAGGTTTGCTTTTAATATCTTTTAATTTTTTACATTCATACATTTATATATATTTGTTAATATAAGTTTTGATGAATATGCATTTTAGACAAACATCATCTCTGTGGAAAGAGTATATGAGGTGAGACATTTTATTTTTATGTTCTAAAAAGATACGAATTTAAAATATTTGAAATTTACTCTTGAATAGTATATCAACTTACCAAGCGAAGCTCCATTGGTCATTGCTGATAATCGCCCAGCACCGACATGGCCACAAAATGGAATGGTTGAATATCAGAATTATTCAACACGATATCGACCTGGTCTCGAGTTGGTTTTGAAGGTCTATATATTTTATCAATAATTATTGTTATAATAAATTTTTTTTTGTAGGTAATATTAAAGACTTACATAATTAACTCGGTTCTATTATAATAGGGAACTTCTTTTTCCGTGAAGCCAAAAGAGAAAATTGGCATTGTCGGAAGGACAGGAGCTGGAAAATCGAGTTTGACTTTAAGTTTATTCAGATTAATTGAAGCTGTTGATGGTAAAATTGTTGTGGTATATATATATTTATTTATTATTATTTATTTTATTATTATTTATTGATTATTATCAATATTAACTTATTTTCTTTGAAATATAATGTCAGGATGATGTTGACATCTCTAAAATTGGATTATATGATTTGCGTTCACGTATTACTATCATTCCTCAAGACCCAATTCTTTTTGAAGGTAAATACTTGTTTATAGATTACAGCGTTGGCAAATTTCAAGGTCATTTGATATATTAAATTTATAGTAAAATCATAAAGTGATAAGGTCACTTGCCAACACTGATAGATTGTGATTATGATATCCAACTTCTATAATTGGATTAATTGAATTAATTTAATTTCATATAGGAACTGTTGAATTTAACCTTGATCCATTCAATTCACATGACGATGTAGAAATCTGGCAGGCTCTTCAAAGTGCACATATGAAAAATCACATCGCTAAATTGGAAGGAAAATTACAAGCTAAAGTACTTGAAGGTGGTAACAATTATAGTCAAGGACAAAGACAATTACTATGTTTGGCTAGAGCTTTGTTGAGGTATTACTATTTCGATCATTTTTATTTGAATTTTCAAGGCTGTTTTTTTTTTTCCTTTAATATTGAATGCTATGTGGATGTTACGTTATTATGCAGGAGATCACCTATTATTGTTTTAGATGAAGGTAAGCTATGCTCTTCGAATATTTTGATAATATCTTGATAATTTGGGTTTTTTTTTTGTAACTAATTCCACATATTATAATCTTTTAGCTACGGCAAGCGTTGATGTCGAGACGGATGCTAAAATACAAGAAACAATTCGTACAGAATTCAACTGGGCAACATTATTGTGTATCGCTCATCGTTTGAGAACAATTATTGACTACAACAGGGTAGGTGATTTATCTATTTAATTTAAGCCAAATTAAATTGTTGAATATTTTTTATTTTATTAATTTAATAAATTATTTTTATTTTATTTTATTTTAATTTAGGTACTTGTATTAGGTAAATATCATTATTTATTAATTATCATTTGTTTAATTTTAATTTTTCAAATTATTATTACTTATTATCATATATTTTATTCTTAAATTAAATTTAGACAAAGGAAAAGTTGCAGAATTCGATACACCATATAATCTTTTACAAAATCCTAATAGTTTATTCCGTAATTTATGTGAGGAAAGCAATGAATTTGAATATTTGATGGATATTGCAACTAAAAAAAATCATACCAGTAAATCCAAGTAAAATTGAAATTATTTAAAAGAATATATAAAGAATACATGTATTTAATTAGATTTCATTTATTTCATTTGGGGAGTGATTGGTAAAATTGTAATTGTATTTTTCATTTATACATTTTTTTTTTGTTTAAATAAAATTTTTAATTTGCTTATTTCTTGAATTTAAACAAATATTTAAAATATAAAAAATACTAAAAAAAACAAAATAATGAGTTCTACAATTTCAGTAACCCCGATCACAACAAATTTACCACAAATTTCTTAACTCACATCTACTTTAACTTTCACATTTACTTCGAAACTCTCAACTCTTCACACCTTTACATTTCACAAACTTCAACTTTCCCTAGATAAGAATTAGTAATGTGTTGTGTTTATCTTAATTATTATGTCGTGTAATTAAGTTACAAGTGTTACACTACGCACAATAGACAAATATTACGAATATTTGATTTTTTTTTTTTTTTAAAGTTTGATTTTTTCCGCGAACCTATATCATATTAGATTCGATATTTTTATATCACATCAATATTTTTTAAAAAATAATTTTCTAAGGGTTTCAAACTTTAAGTATATTTTAATTTTTTTAATTAATTTAATTAATTCGTGAACTCATATTTCCTAAAAATGCATAATATTTATTTTCTAAAATGTGACAAAAAAAATTATTACATAATACTCGTTGAGTTGATACATTTTTTCCACACCGATTTTTTTCAACCACATAATCATGAGAAAGGAGATAAGTTTAGTTATTGAAGTTGTATTATTATGGTCAATTGTACATTTTTATTATTTTATTTAATCCTAAAGTTAAACATTGAATCTATTACATAAAGAAGAATATATCCTCACGAAAAAAACGAGTTAGAAATTTTTTATTGGGGCAGTCCCAACTGTTGTCGATCGAAGATTATATCTGAAAAATATTTTGATTTTAAAAAATAGAAAAATAGAAATATATATATATACTGTATAATGATAACAAAGAATAACATGCTATTTAATTTCTATTTTTATATTTATTAAATAAATTAAATAAATTATTCAATTTTTTTTACTTTCATCAAAAAAGAAGCAAATGAAAATGCGACGAGTTACTATATATTAAAGGCAGCTTAGGGCATCATATTACCGAACTTTCAGCTTTGAGTGCCAACAACATTGAAACTTACAATCGCAATTTCTTTTAAACCAGGTTTATTTATTTTTAAATTGTTCTATTGTATATATTGATTTGATAAACTGCATTCATTCGTCATGCTCATAAAAGTTTTACCTTAAGTTTTTCTAAATTTCTTTAATGCATCGTCTTTGTATTGTATAAATATAAATCACAAGAAATCAAAAGAAAAAAAATGCTAGACTGAAAAATCTGTTATGGGTTCTTTTTCTATTATGGATTAAATATGATAAAATATACATATATTACGTCTTTCAATTTTTTGTTGCAGATCTTTATATAATAAATTTTGCGCGAAGCGCAAAAAAAAAATTTTTTTTATAATAAATTTTGTACGAAGCGTAAAAAATTTTTTTATATTAAAATTTATATGAAGTGTAAAAAATTTTAAAAATCTTATTACACTTGGTCAAAATAATATAGTATGTCTTTTTATGTATTAAGCTTTTTCTTGAGCAGTGGTGACAGTAATTATTGTCATCGCATCATTATAATAATTATTCTCATTGTAATTATTATTATCATAATTATTATTATCATTATCATCCCATAATCTCCTGCAATTATTGTCATTGTTGTTATCATTACCATGGTGAAAATAAGATGAATAAGTTTCTATATCATAATTTACTTGCAAAGGTCAAATTTATATACTGGCGATCCACATTGATTTTTAAAGAATAATTGGTGAACAAGAAAAAAAGAGAGGCAAAGAAGGACAAACAAATGAATGAATGAATAGACGAACCTTACAGATGGATAAACGAAATGAACAGGAAATGAATGTAGGAAAAAATTAGATGTTTCAATTTTATTTTTTTTACTATAAGATATTAATAGAGTATCTCATTTTTTAAACGCTGATAACTTTTTAAAAAAAATATCCAATCAAAAATTTTATCACATAAGATTGAAAGATCTAGACACAAGCTATCAATTTTATGTGGTATTTTTTTAAATAATACATTTTTCCAGAAGAAATATATTTTAAAGTTGATCTAAAATTTTATCTATTATAATTATTTTATTATTGTTGCACCTCAGTTAATATCATTTAATAATTGATTTATTAATAATATTAATAATATATTTATCTATGCGATCTATTTAATTACAGATGATGATGAAGATTTTTAATCAAAATTTTTGATTTTATTTCAAAAATTATTCTATTAAATATCTCAATTCTATTTTATTTAGTGAAGCAATAAATATTTTGCTCTAATTTACAAATATGAAAATGAATGAAAAATGTTCAATTATGTATAAAAGATTATTTTCTAACTTTCATGGTTATCGGACCTTTTTAATCTTTTGGTCGGCCTAGGATATGCTTTCGCGTTATACCATGATAAATCAATTGGAGAACTATTTATATCTCCACGTTCTCCTAAACTCTCAATTTTAAGCCATGGATCGATTGTGTGTTCTCCAACGCGCTCAGGAAGAACCGAAAGGGGAAGGACACGTTTGATTCGATTGCTCCAAATTGTGGGAATATTAAAGTGATTTTTCTAAATTATAATTAATAATAAAAAAGTTAGACATAATCATATGAAATTAAAGAAAATAAATTATTAAAGACAAAAAAAAAATAATTACCCGTAATTCAGCAACTACAACTAAACGGGCATTTCTTCCAATCTCTATATAATAAAATTATATATTAATATATAATAAATATAATAATTATATAAAATAAATATGTAAAGCTGAATTAAGAATGTTATGAATTACCATCTAGCAAGAAACAAACAAGATCTAATATCAAATCAAAATTAGCTGCTCCTCCTCCATCAAGATGAATTCGCTTGTCACAAAGAAGTTTAACCAAAATTACAATCCAGTAAACTATAAGCGTATATTCTTTGCTTCTTAGTGCTACATCTTGATTCTTTGATGCAAAAACAGTTGACACACGGCCCGTCAATACATATGTTCCAAGTACCAATAACTTGATACGTGACAATATGCTGATTACCATAAAACATTATAAAGTATGGTTACTAAAAGGTTGTTTTTCTTTTAAAAATTTACTGAAAATATTACTCACCCAGACACACAAATATCTTCATTTTCTTGATTTATAGATTCGTCTAAAATCTTTTTTACTTGCTTGTATAATTCTTGGCAAAATTCCAACTTTTTCTCATCGCCTAAAGGAATCAATAGTGCTCTAAATATTTCTTCTATGCCGACAACTAAATCCGTGCATCGTTTTAATACGGACATTCCATATTCGAATAACTAAAAGACCATCGTAACAAACCAAACATCGTAATAGATATTGTAATAAATTGATGTTAACTATGAATAAAAATAAATTAAAAAAAATTAAATTAAAAATACGTACTTCTGTAACGACATCATCTCGCATACCACGAATTAGATATGCTATGACATAACTATCTTGCTTTGAATTTAATATTAATTCTTTCCAGAAAAATTCAATAACTTCATTTTTCGAGGAATTGTTTGTTAACATAATTTTATCCATATACAACCAAAGATTAATTCGTCTTTTCTGAAAATTCCATAGGTTAATTGGTGTAGGAATAATCTTTAGATATGGGGTTAATTTATCACATTCATTATCCAAAGAATTATTGTCATCTCCTAGAGTTGTCTGGATCATTTCAATAATGTATTTTTCTACCTTGAATAATTTCTTGGAATCTTTGACAAAGTAATGATATATATTCTCAATATTAACCGAACACATTTGTTTAAACCAATAAACATTTGGAAAGTCTGATCTTAATTGTTGTAAAGTGCTCACTAATGAATTATTGGGATCAATTGAAAGTTCAAAAACGGCAAATTTTTGGAATATTCCTGATAATATTCTAGCGAAGTCATTATTCTGCGACAACGTTTCACAATAATGTTGGAGGACTTGCACATCCTAAAAAATTTTTATCATTGTTTACCTATTTTTATCATTATTTTTATTTGTGGGTGTTCAACGTAAATATATAAAAAAAGACTTACTGTAATGCTCAGGACTATTTCCGAGCAAGGACTTTCTCCACCATCTTGAATAAGCAATAATCTAACAAGAATTGCCAAATTTTTACATTCAAGCAATTCTTTTTGATCTAATCGTTTATGGGATGTTATTTTTTCTAAAATCCTGTTCAAACTCGTATTACAAAGATGTTCTAGTATAATATCCATGCTAACAAGATGGCGTACAATAAGTATAACAAATAAAATCAAAAACCACGCGGAATCATTATTTCTTAGAACATTTTTATCTTCGGTGTGAATATAATTTTTCAACCATTTTTTAAAGAAACAATCAAATCCATCCGTTCTGTCACTAATATCCCGAAGTAAATCACCAAAGATACTCAATATGCGTCTTATCTCTGCAATATCATCATCAGGATAGTTCTCGGAATATTGACTTATGGACTGTGTACAACATTCAAACATGAAATATAATTGTGTAGCATCCATACGAGAATCAATATTTATTGCTTTGAAATAAGGAGATGAGCCAATCATAGAATCAATAGTATTCGGGAATCGTGTACGGTGACGCGCTATTGCTTGTGATAATGGGGACTATAAATGCAAATGTTAAAACTAGAAAGAATTCAGGAATCGCTAAAATTTTATCAGATCGAATAAACAAAAAATCACACACCTTCTTAATAGATTGCAAGTCATGTTCTAACTATTAAAAAAAAAAAATTGACATTTAATAATTTTACATAAATGATAAACAATTAGAACGGTCAATGTAATAAATACCTTCGTTCTTTTCTCATTATCATTTCCATGCAATGAGTTGAGCAAGTATTTAACAATACATAATTCAATTGATCTTTTATCACGAAGTAAATCATTCTTTCTCATTAGGACCTCGAATACTTGCTCAGATTTACCCATGGCTTTCCAGACTTTCTCATGCCGTTTAAGTGTATCGATTATTAATTGGAATATACTTTTTTCCATCGAATTTTCAAGATTCCATGATAAGATCTTTATCAAAGAAATAATATGAAATATATATATAAAAAGATATAAAAATAGATAAATGAATGTAAAATATATAAACAAATTAATAAAATTATTTATCAAATTTTAATTATAATTACCTCAAGTAATGAACTATAATCTTTAAACAATTCAATTACTTGAATTATTGTAGATAATTGGCGAGCATTTAATAATGATGCTCCAGGATAAGTTGGAATATGCCAATTATGTGTATCAATTCTATTTTAAAGTATTCAAAATAACAAGTAAGAATAATATATTTTAAAAATATTCTTAAAATATTAAATTAAAAATACATACGGAGTATTTTGTATAAATGATTTAATAGATGGTAACAACCACTTTTGTATTACATTTGTTTGAGAGAATTTGGTTGCATTCATTATGAAATTAGAACTCTCCCGATCAAAATTTAAGGAAAGATGAAAGTTGGAAATCGGATTATCTTTTATCGGTTCGTCTAATTCATTAGCTAAAGGAATAAAGAAAATAATTATGAATTAAATAAATTAAATAATAATAATAATAATAATAATAATAATAATAATAAAGTGTTAATCAAAGGTGAATGTAATTAAAATGACTAACTAAGATTATAAAAAATTATTTACAAGATTCTGAAAACATGTACGGTAATTTGGTTTTTATTTTATTGATTAATGTTTCGTATTCGTATTTATCAGAATTATCCTATTAATGATTAATTATTTTAAATATATTTTAATATATAAATAATTATATTTATTATGTTTATAATAAAATTTATAAATGGAAAAAAAAATAATAATTGAATACTTACGTTGCCATGAATTCCATATAAAACATATCTTCTTTGATTTAAATGATGCTCCTCTGCATCATAAAGTGGGAAAGATTTTATATATTTAAAGTGACGCATTGACCTCTGATAATTAAAATAAAAAAGAGAATTTAATTTTTGATTTAGTAAATAATTTTTAATTTCTTAAATCTAACCTCCTCATTTCTTCTCTCGGGATGTACATCGCCTCTTGCGATTAGTCGCTGCAAATAACGAGGATGAGAGAAAAGCTTATTACGAATAAGTTCACCAAAAAGGTGTGATATAATTTCTGATTCTATTAAAATGATTATTAAAATGATTATTAAAATAATTAAAATAATTGATATAATTAATTTAATATATTTAAATTCTTTTCTTAATAAAATTAATAAACATTAATAAATTAGCAATGAAGATCTAATTAATACCTTCAGATTCATGAATACCGTTATTTCCTAATGGATAGGTATCTAAGAATTCCATCAATGAATTTTGAATTGATTTTAGGCGTTGAAACTTGTCTTCTTCACTTATCACGAGATTTTTCCAGATATCCAGTATTGTACATACTAAATAAGCGCGATATTCTCCTGTTCGATGAATGGTTACAGCCCATTGACATAATATATCAATACGTGCATTGAATTCGGCTTCTAGCATTTGAAACTTGCTATTTGTACAGAAATATTCTGCAACGAAACTCTGGTAGTCAGTATTCGTTCCAATTTTATCTAAAAGCTAATATGTAAGAAAAAAAAAATTAGAAATGATTTATGTAAACAAATTTAAAAGATAAAGAAATGATTTCTTACATTGATCATTTTAAGATCTTTTATTTCTTTTTCGCTTCGTTTTCTGATACAATCTGTTTTTTGTTCATCAAATACTTCGTTTCTGACACGTATCAATTCATAATATCGTTCCCTCTGACGTTTCATATTCTTTGATAGAATTGCTTCAAATTTAATTGGACTCTCTTCAACAAGAACGGTCTGTAATAAATCTTTGTATGTATTCCAACAAACTGGAAACACAAACATATCTGGAGTAGCAAGGAAAAGAGTCTAATTGAAAAAAAAAGAGCACTCAATAATAAATCTTCATTATCGTAATAATAAATAAGAAAAATGTTAGATCCTCACTTGAAGCATATTCTTTAACATTTTCACGACGAAATCAAGTTTTGTGGCTAAAACAGGATTCTGAATTATCTATTGAAATATTAATAACATTAGTTAATTTAATTATTATGAAATGAATAAGAGAAAATAATTGTTTGTTTACATCTTGTAATTTTTTTAATATCGTTTCGATTAACAATCTCATCAGAGTTCGAGAACGTTGATATTCGGCCAGGAATTGCTGTATAAACCATAACCAGATGGCTGCATGCAAAGGATCAGACTTATCTAGATTTTCGAGAGTCCATCTTAAAATTCGTGTATCTACTAACCCTTCGTCAAATTGCCATTTTGCAAGCATTACGCTAATAATAATAATTAATAAGAAGAAAAAAAATAACTTTATTAAACTTAATATTCAAATATTCAAATCTTAAATAAAAAAAAAAAAAAAAAAAAAAAAAAAAAAAAAAAAAAAAAAAAAAAAAAAAAAAAAAATTGCCTGTTTTTTTTTTTTTTAGATTTTAAATAACTACGTTTTTTTTTAAGAAATTAATTAAAATTTTATGT